CCATTCATTTCAACAAACAATGACACCAATATTTTTTTTAGTTTACACCCGTTAAGGGCCTAACTTTTATTATATTTGTAGATTTGTCGATGTTAATACCAGGAAATAATATAGTAAAGAATTTTTAAATTAAAATATATAAAATTATAAATAAGCTTACAAGTATTCATCTCACCTATCTCCCGGCACATTCTTCCACTAACAAAACTTACCTATTCCTATGCATTATATTTTTAATGAATTGGCTTACCTATGACATGCTATGAAAGGAATACACTTAATTACCAACTACCGAAAAAAGATTAATAAAGTTGTGTAACGTCAATATGTTAATATTATGAAGTATATTAAAGAGGGATTATTGGATAACGGTAAATATAGAAATCACTTTATAATTAAATAGAAAATACAATCACTAAAATAACAATAATAAGTAATATTAATAATATTATATAAAATTTTGGTAACAAGGTGTAACATTACCGTAAAAAAAATATAATCCAAATTCTCTGTTAAAAACATATCCAATTTTCTTCATATCTCTTATAACATTTTAAAATTAATTTATACAACAAAAAAATAAAACAATATAATTACAGAATTAAACTGAAAAGGCAATTATATTTTGTAGAGAGATTATCTTTTTTTTTTTGTTTTCTGTTTAATATGGAAAACTCATTCAAAAAGCAATGAATATAACTAAAGACAATCAAATTTGACCTAATAGCAACAATTTAAAATAATAATAATTTTAGGAAATTACAATTCAATATCTCCGTTTGTGAGATTTTCTACTCTAATATTTGTAAGAAGATAATAACATTAAAGGGATATTCTTTATTTTCATTGTTTCCCATGAATTGCCCAACCTCATAAGAAATTAATCAAAGAAATAAATATGTTTTTTTTTTTAGCTTCCAAATTTATATTCTAATGTTTAAATCCAAACATTGCATTAAAATATTTATATTTATTATTTGTCAAGAATTGACCTACCTACCACATGTCATAAAAGGAATACATTTAATAATAACCAAGTATAAAAAAATTTTGAAAATAAGTAATTACACGTCAAGATGATAATATTATGAAGTAAATTTAAAATGAGAACATCGCATGCATCACTCTTAATATAGAACTCGATCTCCTAATAATTAAAAAGGAAAAATTCAATAAAATAACCATAATAAGTTATATAATGTATATTATGAAAAAAATATTCGTGACAGGGTGTAAAAGTACTATGAAAAGAATACAATCCATTCATCTGTCAAAAATTTATCCAGTTTTGCTCATATATGTGGCCCAATAAATACCATATCATCTCAGCATGCATAATCACCAACATACACAAGATCAATAAAGAATAAAAAACCACAAACCGATCTTGAGCACTTATAATAGCTTCTTCTTCTTTTCTCATTTCCAATCAATCTATATATATCATGGCAAGAAGGAGATTAAGATTGGCATATATTGTGAATCAATCGAGAAGAAAAGCATCCTACTAAAAAAGAAAGAGAGGGGAGGTCAAAAAGCTTAATGAGCTCACCGTTCTTTGCAGTGCGGATGCTGCCATGATAATGTATAGCTCGTTTGCATTGAGCCCTTTGCATTATAAAAAATAGAGTAAAAACATGATATTATTCAACCTCAGACCCATTAAAATATAGCGTGTAACAGCGGGGCTCGAGAATTATTGTGTATTTGAATCGTTGGAGCTAGAAATCGTCGATATGCTCATATTGGTGATATTGTTGTTGTTGATGTTGTTATCAAAGAAGCAGTACCTAATATGCCTCTAGAATGATCTGAAGTAGTCAGAGCGGTAATTTTGCGTACCTGTAAAGAACTCAAACGTGACAGCCGAATGATAATACGATATGATGACAATGCCACATTTGTTATTGATAAAGAAGGAAATACAAAGAACTAGAATTTTTGGTGCAATCGCCGGAGAGTTGAGACAATTCAATTTTACTAAAATAGTTTCATTAGCTCCCAAAGTATTATAAAAGGAAATTGTGATATGTTTCTAGTGGAGTATTCGAAAGAACGGTATTAGAAAAGTAAATTGTGATATGTTTGTAGGTGAGTATTTGAAAAAAAATAGATTCAAAATTGAATAGAATGTGTCTCACTCATATAACTTTCTTGAAAAATAGAATTCATAGACAAATAAGTAAAAAAAAAAAAAAAAATTAAAAACGTTAATAGTATCCAAATTTTTTGCCACAATAATTATGGTTCATAATGGGTAGGGACACTTACTGAGATAATCACTTCTATACGAAATGCTGATATGGATCGAAATAGAGTGACTCGAATAGCATCCACCAATATTACTGAAAATATTGTAGGAATACTTTTACGAGAAGATTTTATTGAAAACGTGAGAAAGCAACGAGAAAAAAAAAAAAACAAAAAAAAAATTAGTTTAACCCTGCGACATAGAAGGAATAGGAAAACACCGTATAGAAATATTTAAAATTTAAAACGGATCAGTCGACCCGGTTTACGAATCTATTTTAACTATCCACAAATCCCTAAAATTTTTGTGGGATGGGAGTTGTAATTCTTTCTACTTCGCGAGGTATAATGACAGACCGAGAGGCTCAACTAGAACGAATCAGGGGAGAAATTTTGTGTTATATATATATGATAATATTTTGATTAGAATATAAAAATTGGATCAAAAACTTCTTATTTTTAAAATTTGGAAAAGCAAAAAAAATGGGGGAGTTATTGAATACCTGGGATGAAAGGACAAAAATGAATTCCTAAGGGTTTCATTATGAATCGCTTCCAAATAGTATATTCCATCTTTATTTATGGAATGAAGATCTGATTCTAAGTTCTGTTTCGGAAAACATCCAACGTATAGGTAGTTTATATAGATACCGCCAATAAGTCAAATTTGATGTAAGTTCTTATGATTCAACCAAAGTGTGTATAATTTATCAACTACGCAATGCCACAAAGATTTGATGGATTCGTTTTTCAACTTTAACAAACATGTCTTTCATGGAAATATATTCGAGACGCAAAATATCAAGAAACATTTTTTAAAAAAGTTAGATTTCAAATGAAGGTAAGGAATGGGAAATATGAAAATATAGGTTACTGTTCCTAAAATTTGTGAAAAATCTCGACTAATCCGTAGAAGAGGACTAATTGGTAGTATATGTTTTAACAATTATGCTAATTATTATTGGGATGAACTTTGAACCTAAGACCTTTAATTTGTTATAGAAATTAATGAGTATGTTATATAATAATAAATAGTTAATGGAATATTCCGTTTCTAAAGTTTATACTAACAGAATGCAGTGTTATTTAAGAGAAGAAAATAATATAATAGAGGTTAAATAAGGAAAATCATAAAAATAAAATACTAAAATCAAATAATATGAACCATTCATTTCAACAAACAATGACACCAATATTTTTTTAATTTGCTCCCGTCAAGGGCCTAACTTTAGTGACTCTTATTATATTTGTAGATTTGTCGTTGTTAATACCAGGAAATAATATAGTAAAGAATTTTTAAATTAAAATATATAAAATTGTAAATAAGCTTACAAGTATTCATCTCACCTATCTCCCTGCACATTCTTCCACTAACAAAACTTACCTATGCCTATTCATTATATTTTTCATGAATTGGCTTACCTATGACATGCTATGAGAGGAATACACTTAATTACCAACTACCAAAAAAAGACTAATAAAGTTGTGTAACGTCAATATGTTAATAATATGAAGTATATTAAAGAGGGATTATTGGATAACGGTAAATATAGAAATCACTTTATAATTAAATAGAAAATACAATCAATAAAATAACAAAAATAAGTAATATAAATAATATTATATAAAATTTTGGTAAAAAGGTGTAACATTAGCGTAAAAAAAATATAATCTAAATTAACTGTTAAAAACATATCGAATTTTCTTCATATCTCTTATAACATTTTCAAATTTATTTATATACAAAAAAAAAATAAAACAATATAATTACAGAATTAAACTGAAAAGACAATTATATTTTGTAGAGAAATTATCTTTTTTTTTTTCTCTGTTTAATATGGAAAACTTATTCAAAAAGTGATGAATATAACTAAAGACAATCAAATTTGACCTAATAGCAACAATTTAAAATAATAATAATTTTAGGAAATTACATTTCAATATCTCCCTTTCTGAGATATTCTACTCTACTATTTGTAAGAAGATAATAACATTAAAGGGATATTCTTAATTTTCATTGTTTCCCATGAATTGCCCAACCTCATAACAAATTAATCAAAGAAATAAATTTGTTTTTTTTTTAGCTTCCAAATTTATATTCTAATGTTTAAATCCAAACATTGCATTAAAATATTTATATTTATTATTTGTCAAGAATTGACCTAGCTTCCACATGTCATAAAAGGAATACATTTAATAATAACAAGTATAAATTTTTTTTTGAAAATAAGTAATTACATGTCAAGATGATAATATTAAGAAGTAAATTTAAAATGAGAACATCCCATGCATCACTCTTAATATAGAACTCAACCTCCTAATCATTAAAAAGGAAAAATTCAATAAAATAACCATAATAAGTTGTATAATGTATATTAGGAAAAAATATTCGTGACAGGGTGTAAAATTACTATAAAAAGAATACAATCCATTCATCTGTCAAAAATTTATCCAGTTTTGCTCATATATGTGGCCCTATAAATACCATATCATCTCAGCATGCGTAATCACCCACATACACAAGATCAATAAAGAATAAAAAACCACAAATCGATCTTGAGCACTTATAATAGCTTCTTCTTCTTTTCTCATTTCCAATCAATCTATATATATATATCATGGCAAGAAGGAGATTAAGATTGGCATATATTGTGAATCAATCGAAAAGAAAAGCATCCTACCAAAAAAGAAAGAAATGGGTGGTCAAAAAACTTAATGAGCTCACCGTTCTTTGCAGTGCGGATGCTGCCATGGTAATGTATAGCTCGTTTGAGCAGGGGCCAGTGATATGGCCTACTGTTGAAAGGGTTCAAGAGCTGATTGCTAGGTTCATGCAGCTGCCGGACGTGCAACAAACCCGGCGAATGATGAGCCAGGACAGCTTTGTTGTGCAAATGCTTGAAAAGTTGGGCACTCTGCTTCTAAAATTGAAGCAAGAGAACAGGGAGATGAAAATGAATGCAGTGATGCATCAGATTTTTCGCGGAGAACAGATAGTTGATTATCTGAGTTCAGTAGATTTAAACGACCTGGGTTGGGTTTTAAACACGAATATTGCTGAAAGTGTTATGAGGTTGGTAAGAGATTCCCCAACTCTGGCTCCTCCTTCAGTTGTTGCTCCAGCAGATGTGTTTTCTGGGCAAAGCTATCAAAGCATGGTGGGTATGCAAACTGCCAATCTTAATCCTGCCTGGAATTGGGCTTTCAGTAATCAAAATGACCCAACTCAGGGGGAGCAGGGCCTAGCACTTCCCAACAAAATCCTTAACTCGTTTCTGCAAATTTCTCAGTGTTCATAACTACTCTTAATGCAAGTGTTTTTGTTTGTTATTTAAATTGATGCATTATATTGGGAATAGCCTGGCTAATGCATCTATATATTTTTACGTTGTTTTGTTTTTTTTTTCTAGTTCAATTAATAATAAAATAAGCTGTCCTATTTATTTTTAAAAAACCTGGGTATAAATTTGAGTTGCAGAAAATCCTTCTCATAATACATAAATATAAAAGATCAAAGTTCATATCCCTTTGCATTCACAAATTTCATTAATCAAAATGACCCAACTCAGGGGGACCAGGGCCTAGCAACTCCCAAAATGAATATGTTTCTCTAATGCTGTAATGCAGTGCATTGCAATGCAAGTGTTTTTATTTGTTATTTAAATTGACAAATTTGAGTTGTACAAAATTGTTTATAAAATACATAATAAATATATCAAATCAAATTACATATCCATTTGCAGTGATACAAATTATAATAGAAAGATAATAAAAAACATATCTATTTTTTCATGTATTAAATTACACACAATTAATTGGATTGTCAATTTCTGATGCTCCTAATGAGGATTTCCGTTCTCCATCACAATGGGATTGGGATGGGAAAAATTTCGGAGAATAGGATCGGGGTAGTGGAAATACCCCACCCCGCTTCCGATTCTTATAACAACAACTACAACAACATTATTATTATTATTATTATTATTATTATTATTATTATTATTATTATTATTATTATTATTATTATTATTATTTTGAAAATTTTTATTATTTTCTTGGGAATCTTTGCTTTGTTTTCTTTCTCATATATATATCTGGTAGTGCAAGACAAGGAGAAATGCAGGTTTACCACCTAAAGTACCATTGAATCCTAAGATTGAATTACACTGAAGGAAGCAAAACGCACGAAGGAGAAAGGAGAAACAAGCGGAAAATGTACGTAGAGATGGCTTATCAAAACAACAATAATGTTGCAACCTCACATTAAAGAATTTGGCAGCACCAAGTTTTCACAATCAACCACTCCTACAAAATTAAGAATATAATTATGACTTTCTACTACACCTTCATAATAAAGGTGTAACGGAAAGAAAAAGTAAAAAAAAAAAAAAAAAAAAAAAAAAAAAAAAAAAAACTGTCGCAATCTAAGTGCTTAAGAATACACTACACCTTTATTTAAAAGGTGTAGTGAATTCGAAAGTAAAAGAATACATGAAAATTTCCGTATATATATATATATATATATATATATATATATATATATATATATATATATATATATATATTTGAAAATCGAAAACTTATATATTATAATAATAACAAAACGTTCCGCGACACCCTCTTGGATAGCGTGCCGCGGAACGTTTTATTATTATTATTATTATTATAATAATAATATAACCTCCCAACAAAATTTTTAAGTTTCTGCAAATTAAACTTCTCTAGCTTACTGTTTTTATTTGTTGTGTGAATTGATGCATTCTATTGGAAAATTTGAGTTGTTTGTTTTTATGTTTTTATGTTGTTTTGTTTTTTCCCGTTCAAGGTTCACATCCCTTTATATTGTCAAATTTGAGTTGCACAAAATCCTTCTCAAAATACATAAATATATAAGATAATCAAAGTTTATATCCCTTTGCATTGACACAAATTATAATAGAAAGATAGTTAATGACATATTTATTGTTCCATGTATTAAATTAGACACAATTAATTGCAATGCAAATTTCCCAGGTTCTTCATGAGGATTCCTGATCTCCATTACAACGAATATGGGGATGGGGAAATATTTAGAGAATGAGGCCGGGAATATTATTATTATTATTATTATTATTATTATTATTTACTACTACTATTGTTATTTATTAATTATTATATGGTTGTAGAGTGGTTTTAATGTATTTATATATTGGAAGTGTTAAGACATTTTATAATTACATATTAATATTCATATTTGCATTAAAATTATTTGAAGGGACGGGGATCGGGATGCTTGATGCTACAAACAATAATGCCGACCTCATGAGAATATAATTGTGTTGTATTCAATAATAATGTCTGAGAGTACATGGAGCGAATATATAGAGATGATAGATAGAATCCTAGTCTAACACGAATAATATAGTCCTAGTCTAATATGAATAATATAGTCCTAATACTCCCCCTCAAGAAAAAGGTTGGCTAGCCAAAACATTGAGCTTGTCACGGAGAGAGTTAAAACGAAGAGACGACAGAGACTTTGTGAAAATATCCGCTAGTTGATCCTTGGTTGAAATAAAGTGCACTTCTAACTCCTTTTTGGCTACTTCATCGCCAACAAAGTGATAGTCAATCTCAATGTGCTTCGTGCCGGCATGAAACACTAGATTGGCACATAAATAAGTAGCTCCCAAATTATCACACCATAATTGAAGAGGAGACGCAGGTGAGATGACGATTTCATGTAACAGAGAAACAAGTCATGTAACTTCTGCAGATACATAGCGAGTCCCTTGTATTATGCTTCAGTCGAAGAACGTCCCACAGTCCGTTGCTTCCGACAAACCCAAGATATAAGATTACTGCCCAAGAACACAACAAAGCCACTAGTAGATTTGGGGTCATTCGGATCGCCAGCCCAATCTGGGCTAGAATAGGCGTGAATATCCATAGATGTAGACCGAGAAATACGCAGGCCAAGATTCTTGGTGCCTTTGACATACCGCAGGACTCTCTTTAGATATGTCAAGTCTGTAGTAGTGGGAGCATGCATATGTTGACACAATAGATTAACATCATAAGATAGATCCGGACGAGTTACCGTAAAATACTGGCGAGCACCAGCAAGACTCCTGTATTGTGTTGGATGGCATAGGGAACAGCCATAGTCTGTGATTTTCGCAGAAGAGACAAGCGTGATTACTGGCTTGCAGTCCACCATACCAACACGTTTGAGAATATCCTTCACGTACTGTTGTTGGGATAAATGCATACCACTTGATAACAGGACAGTTTCTATTCACAAGAAGAAAGAAGGCACACACATATCACGAACCTTAAATTCAAGTGCCAATTTATGAATAAGAGTAGTAACACGATCTAAGTCCGAACCCTTAATTAAAATGTCATCAACATACACCAAGAAATAAAGACGAATATAGTCACAAGAATAGATAAAAAGAGACACATCTGTCTTATAAGGGGAGAAGCCCACAGAGATAAGAGAATCATGTAGCCTTGTGAACCATGCACGTGGAGCCTGTTTGAGACCGTATAGAGATTTTTTAAGCAAACATACATGATTAGGTAACAACATATCCTCATAAACAGGTGGCTGTTGCATGTAAACAGTTTCAGCTAGCTCGCTATTTAAAAGGCGTTGTGAATATCGAACTGGCGAATAGATCACCCACAAGATACGGCTAAAGATAAGAGAAGACGAACCGTAGTGGGCTTAACCACATGGCTAAAGGTCTCAAAAAAGTCATCTCTAGCAACCTGATTAAAACCCTTGGCTACTAACCTTACTTTAAGATGGTCTATTGAACCATCGGCCTTCCGTTTGGTTCAGAAAACCCACTTGCAACCAACAACCTTCATACCTGGTTCAGATGAAACGAGACGCCACGTATGATTATGGACCAAAGCATTGAAATCCGCGTCCATTGCATCACGCCACTCAGGAAACTTGACCGCCTGAGAGTAACAGGTAAGCTCAGGCAATATAGTGGAAATAGTGGTTAAGGCAACATGATGATGCGTGCCAGAGCTGCGAGTGTTCATGCTATGCGACCGAGGAGGCGGAGTAGCATGTCGTGGAAGTCCGCGCAGCCTGCCGTGCTGCTCAACCTGCAGGTCTGAGATAGTCCGCTCACTCGATGCGGAAAACTCGTTACGCTGACCTGCATCACTGCCAGAAGCTGCCATGGGCTAGTGAATCTGCCGAGTGCCATCAGTAACCGTGGTCGAGACATCTCTTCCTTTGCCCATCACAATTGGTGCAGTAGCGGCTCGTAACGCGGTGTAGCAACCTACGAGAAAATAGGAGAAACAAAGGGAAACACAATATCATCGAATCGCATGTGGCGACATAAAAACCTTGTTAGTGTTAGTGTCCAAACAACGATAGCCACGATAAGACGGAGGATAGCCTAGAAAGACACAGGGAGATAACGAAACTGGAGTTTATTGCGATTATAAGGACGTGGGACAGGAAAGCACAAACAACCAAACACTCGCAAGTAAGAGTAGGACGGGGGAGATCGATGTAAACGGAAGTGAGGGGACTGATCATACAGAACACGAGTAGGAATTTTATTAATTAGATACACAGCAGTTTCAAAAGCATAGTCCCAAAAACGAGACGGGACATATGCTTGAGAAATTAAAGACAATCCTGTCTCAACAACATGACGATGTCTGCATTCCACTCGACCATTTTGCTCGTGAGTATACGCACAGGATTGCCTGTGGCGAATACCCAGCGAAGCATGAGTGGAACCAAGCTTTTTATATTCTCCCCAAAAATCAGATTGAAAGGAAATAATCTTGCGAGAAAAAGAATGTTCAACGAGTGATCGGAACTTATCAAATACAGCATACAAATCAGATTTAGCACGCATGGGATAATACCTTATATAATGAGTGTAATCATCCACAAACAACATAAAATATTTATAGCCAGACGCTTAAAGTAATTGCGCCGGGCCCCAAATATCTGGATAAATTAATTCCAAAGGATGCGTACTAGTAGTTTCAACACGAGTCAAAGGAAAATGAGAGTATTTTCCCAATTGACAAGAGGAACAGACCGTTGGAATCACCATTATCACCAGAGACAGCCACATTAGCCTGAAAACTCGGAGCCCCTGAATCACGCTGAAAATAGTTGGCTCCCGTGTGACCAAAACAGTTACAAATTTGACAAAGATCATCATAGCGCAAAAAACAATTGGCTCCCGTGTGACCAAAATGTTTACAATAATTTGACACGGATCATCAATGCCACGTCGTTGACTGGACCGCTTCTCATACGGTGTAT